GGGTTAGTGCGTGGCTTGGGAGCCTTGGCTTTGCCCGCTGACGCTCGAGACGTCGGATCCCTCGGGAGCGCGCGCGATCGCTCGGGCGCGAGCCCAGGAGACAGGCCTGCCATGTCTGATCGCGCCCCTCGCTCGGAGGACCGCCCTTTGGATCGCGACGGCAGGGCGGCCGGAGATGCTCGCGCGCAGATGCCGATCGGGATCCGCGTGACAGGAGACGACGATTCCCCCTATCCCTCAGTCTAACCTTGATGCGCTTGCGGCGATCAGCCGCCAACCACGGGGAGAATGCATACTAGACGAAAGTGCGATGCCCGATCGCACGCCAGACCACGAATCCCCTAACTCCTCCGGCCCCGCCGTCAGCCGGCAGCCAGGGGAGGTGCTGGGGGGCGCCCCGCCTTTTATCCGCGCGCATAGGACGATCAGTCGCCTACCCAATGAAGAAGATTACGCGAACAGCCCACCCGCGCTTTCCCGTCGCGCCCCTGGGGGGCCAAGTGAAATAGGCACCCGGCAGTTCTACTCGACCCCGCCCAGGCCCTGGGAGTGCCCAGCACTGTCGAGACAGATGCGGCAATTTCGACGGCGCTTCTCGGACGGCGTCGACCCCCGGAACCAAGCGCGCAACGTCCCAGGACCTGATGGCCACGACTTGCCCCAGGGTGCGCCACGTGGCAGAGCCAAGCTGGGGCCCCCCAGAGACTCCTGAGCTACGGATGCCTTCAGAAGCCGAGCAGGAACGCGCTGCCGCCGCGCTGGCGGGTGGACTCAGCGACGACGAAGATGGCCCGAGATGGGAATCGGCCGCTGAACTGGTGGACTCAGCGCCAGAGGGGCCGGCCCCTCGAGCTCTCCGTCCTGGCGACCGCGCGAGGCTGCGAAGGGGGGACTCGGACTCACGTAGATGGGCGCGTTGCCCCCGACGCAAGGGGGCGGCGGATTGACGCTGGATCAGCTCGCCCCCGGCCGCGCAGATCCGCGCCGCGACGCAGTCCTGATCGCGGCGGCCCATCGGTCCACCCGCCACCCCCTGCGGAGAATCGTGAGCCTTCTCCTACCAGGGCGCCGGCGGCGATCGGTCGCTCTGCCAGGGGCGAGGCAAGGAGAGCGTCTGTCTGTGACGACGCGCTTGCGGCGATCAGTCGCATGCCCAGGGCAGGAGATGGCAACGACCTTCTGGTCCATCCGCCACCCCTTGCGGAGAGTCCCGAGGCCCCTCCTCCTTTTGCGTTCGCAGCGATCAGTCGGTCACCCAAGAGTCAATGAGCCCTGCGAACTGTGACAGCGCGCCTGCGGCGATCAGTCGCGCGCCCCGAGTGGGCGACGAAAGAGATTCTCCCAGGGGGGAACAAAGGGGCGCCGTGGATCGCAACGACGCGCCTGCGGCAATCAGTCGTGCACCCAGGACAGAAGATGGCAGCGACCTTCCTGTCCATCTGCCACTCCCTGCGGAGAGTCCCGAGGCCCCTCCCCCTTTTGCGCCCGCGGAGGTCAGTTGGTCACCCAGGGGGGAGTCAATGAGCGCTGCGAACTGTGACAGCGCGCCTGCGGCGACCAGTCGCACACCCCGAGTCGGCGACGAAAGAGATTCCCCCAGGGAAGAACCAACGAGCGCTGTGGATCATAACCACTTGCTCGCGGCGATCAGTCGCTCACCCAGGGAAGAGTGAGCGCTGCGAACAGTGGCAGCGTGCTCGCGGCGATCAGTTGCACGCCCCGCGCAGACGACGAAAGAGACGAAGCTCCCCCGAATTCTTCTGACACGCCAGGGGAAGCCTCTGAAGGCGGTATCACTCCCACTTGTTCCTGCTGACTATTTACAGGCCTGGCGGGGATCCGCATGGGGCGGACTCGCGAGGCCGCCGCGACGAGAACCAGGCTTCGACAACCGATTCGGACGCCCGCGTTCCCCCCGCGCCGACCCCCACTGACGAATTCCGCCCCCCCACCGACGCGACTCCTCCAGGTGGCGCGCGAAGGCATCCCGCTGAACAGGAGTCGCCCGCAGTGAACGAGCATGGGCGAACAACCGCGGTGCCCGTCGACGCAGACCACGGGGAAGATGACGCGGGATTGGAAATGGGTGCTGACCGTCATTGGCCATCGGACGAACCGGCCCCGCGCGCCCATTTTCCCGTGACCGCACTTGGGCAACAGCGGAATGCCCGCTCCGCATCCGACCCGAGAGGGCGACGCGAGGTGAGCGGATCGACCCGCGCCCGCGCCCTCTCCTCTCCCCTCGCTCCTACCCCCTCTACCCCGCCACTCGGTTCAATGCGACGTGGAGCGACCTGCTCGGCGGCGCGCCGCCAGCCGCCTGCTCCCGCGCCCCCGTCGGCCCGTGATGCGGGCCGACCAGCACGCGCTGCCGCGGCCCAGGCGGCGGTCCTGCGATCGAGGACCTCATGGAACGGGGCGCCACCTTCGCGCGACCCCTGCGAGGCAACCATGCGACTCCAGCTCGTGATGCACTTCGTCTGGAAGCGGCACCCAGAAA